TATATATATATATATATATATATATATATATTAGTGTTATTTAGAAATAGCCTTATGTAAAATGATTGCAAAGTGGGGGAGGGGGGAGAAATTGGACACTTAGCCAAGTTACACACCATTGTTTTATACCCGTTATAGGAGTTCAGGATTGAATGCCCATTTCAAATCAAATTTAAACTGTAAACATTATTCTGTATGTCAGCACAGTGATCTGTCCTGCAGCCAGAATTTCCTGAAAACGTGCAGACTTTATTTATATGACAGGAAAACTAAAATGTTGGTCTTCTAATTTTTTTTATTAACTTAAACCTGTAAAGTGTAATGAAGTGTAGTAAAATGTTTCAGGAGGAGAAAGGAATATTTTTATTTTGTCACATTGAGAAAACACTAAGGTCCGAAATTGGGAGAAGGAATAATCTGTTATAGCAAATCATGACAACAGAGTTATTTGCAGATTATGTTCAAGTCATGTCATACTACACTATTGTAAGAGCATTCTGGAAAAACATTCAAATCAATCATCATAAAATAAGGAAACTGCCTTACCTCTACTATTCCTATTTTTCCATCGACATTTCCCCCATACTGGTCCACAAAAGCTTTCATTTCAGATGTTAATTCCTAGAAGTTTACAACAATGGAATTATTATTTGAGACAGATGTGCTAAGTACTTCAATATAAATGAATTATTGACATATAACTTTCATATAAACAACCCATGATGATATTTTACCAGTTTAACTGAAACAGAGTAGTGTTTTCCCCCTGTATAATGTCATTGTATTGAATATAACTGCTTGAGAAGATACTACTAAAAACAAATGAAAAGCAGAATCCAACCTTCATAATTTCTATTTTATTTTAGAAAATGAAAACATTTCATTATAAGTCTAAATATGCTGAAGCATGGGCCCAACTCTTCCTTTGTTGATAGGAAAAACTATTGTTTTTTCAGTTTTAATTTTTAAATGAACAATTTCAATATTAAGTCTTTCATAGTGGAGAAAATGTTAAAATGTCTGATATTACATGTTTGCTTTTCACATCTTTCTACATTCCATTTCAATTATGTCCTCTCTTTTGACCTCTCTCCTAACTGATCTCCCAATTAAGTCAGTTTTTGGTTGCCTATTTCTTCATGATGTCTTAAAAGCAGAAGTAGAACTTTACTGTTAGAACAAATGTTAAGAAAGATGATCTGTGGGGGGGAAAATCCTTTCAAACATGTTAGAAAAATCCTGAGTAACAGATTAAATTCACAGGGCCAAAACAGTAATTGAGAATTGCATGAATGTTTGCACTTACCACATATTTGTCTAAAATGATGGCTTCTTTTTAAAGTATGGCAGTAAGGTATGAGCCTCATATGAAGAACTAAACTTGTTTCAGAATTTCTTACTACAACTCCCCTGCACATTTAAGGAGTCTCTTTGACTTCATTGGAACGCCTCCAAGAGCCCATGCGAATGAGCTATGCTTTAAAGATGACCTTGTCCTGAAGGTCCTTACTTGGGTGAATCTCCCATCAGGGACACAGGGAATATTGAACGAGTAAGTTCCAGTGGATTGTAGCCCAAATCCATATTAGTAGAGACTGATAAAATGCAAGATTTTATAACAAAACAGACAATAGCCCAGTATCCTTTTCACTTCAAAGTCATCAGTTTTAGGTTAGTAATTTGAACTGTTTAATTAAAATGTAATTGTTAATCCTTTGCACTTCAGTGTCACCTTTTCTCCAAGGATCCCAAAGTTTTTACTGAGCAGGTAAAGCTCAAACTTTAAAGTCTGGCTATCTACATTCTAATAAGTCCTGGGTAAAGATTTTAATAAATGGTATTATTCTTTATTTCTCATAATATCCACAACATGCCAGGCACTGCACAATTATAAAAGGAGATATGGTCACTTCTTATTGTCTGAAAAATGTAATGTCCTTCATTTAAAATTATTCAGGATTTTTTCTTGCTTTTATCTGCAAATCAATTGAATATTGTTTGTGAATAAGTTATCTATCAAAAAAGCCGGAGTTTGTCTCTTTGACATTGTGTATTTACCTGATCCAGGTGTTTCATGACCACAGTAAGTGTTCAGAACATGCCTTATAATCCTAGGATGGATGGCACTAGGTAAACATAGGTACTATTGCACCTTCAAACAGTAAGTCAGCCGATATCTCTGAGGTAGAGTTCTCATGTATTCTCATTTTACATGTGGGAAAATAGAGGAACAGATGTATAGCTTGTATAAAGTCATTCCATGAATCAGTAGCAGGTCTGAGAAACCCTGCGTTAACCACTACACCACACATTTGTCAATTGGAAAGAGAAAAAGTAAGATGACAGAAGATGCTCATGTTGACCAAAGAAGTTAATGCATATACATTGTTATACTTGTAAATGTATATCTTGAAAAGCGATATATTCTAGCATTTGTGAAAGCAGATTGTGGCAACTCCATATTTCACGTAACTAGCAAAAATACAAAATGTTACCACAGAAAACCCTCAGTGTAAATTCCTTCTGGCCGTACCACTAGATAGTGATGAGAGGAATCAAATTGCATGGTACTCTTCTTGACAAGTAGGAGTGGCAAAAGAATGGACTTTTCAACACACGTTTGATTAATAAAGGAATTACAGAAGTATTAGGGTGACAAAATAATTAGAGCAGTTCAGAAGCTGAGAATAGTACAGACAGAAGTTGAGCCACCCTGTTCAAAGACTGAATCACTGGGACTCTTTAACTCATGTGACATGACTGATATAAAATCCAACTATGAAGAATGCATAATTGAATAGTTCAGTGATACTGAGCATGAGAAACTACCTGAAATTCAGAAGTTAATGATGGTAGAGAAGCTTTTGGGGCTAAGAACAGGACAGCCACAAAAATTATGTAAGACTTCCGTTAGCTTCTCATTATGTCCTTTCTCGCGAAGGACAAGAAAATAAAAGCTACTCAGTTAGTATCCAGTAAAACAAGACATGAACTGGCGAGATGCTTGTTTAGTAAGTGAGCCTCCAAATCCAAGAATTGGCTTAGATCTGAAACCTCTGGCACATGTCCATAATTCAAAAAAAAAAAGACTTCAGGGATCAAGATATCAAACAACTATGGACAATCCAGTAAGAGTACTGAAGTTCAGTTTGCTGGTACGGTAGATTGGTCCTTTCAGCAGAATATTCCAGAAATAGGCTCAGACCAGAGCAATGACAAAAGAGAAATTAATTAAGCACCTAACCACTTTCAAAATATAACCACTGTAAAGGCAGAGTCTATAAAAAGCTATAAATGATGAAGTGGGTGGCAGACAAGAATAACCCTACAGGGATCTTCTATATTACTTTATGAGCACTCTAATTTTTAAGTAGGAGACATATGACACAAATTACTTCTGGAGAAAAATGAAGATGGTTTTTAAATGAAGTAGATCATCCTGCTTTAAGATCTCTAAACCTTCATCCACTGAATACTATGTTAGGGCTGTTATTAAGGGGACTGTTCACATAAAAAAAATATGCTAAATACACGTTCCTCAATACAGTCTCAAATATCTTCTTTTGAATGTGCACGCTTACTGACCCCCCTTTATGTTAAAGGTATTTAGTTTTAGTGAAAAAAAAAATGGCACATTTTGTGGTAATTTAGCCTCTTAATTTGGGAAGAAAAAAGATCACAGAGAACTTTTTGTTAGGCAATGCAATCACATCATTTCCAATATTATGAGATCTTTCAAAATGAGACTTACATGTTTGGAAGCAGGTGGGTTCACACTGAGAGTTTTATAAAAATGGATTAGCTGATATCAAGATTACTCACAATTTTATATGTAGTATTACAGATGACAGATTTTTCAAATGCACACTTAACTCATAAAGCTAATAGGAAGATGGTACGTGCCACAGAACAAATAAAAATATGCAGATTTGTTTTGAGCATTTAACTACTAAGAACCAAGCAGGCAAGAATTCTATTATTCAAAAAACTAACAATTATTTCTTAGCCCTATCTCCCCTCCTTCCTTTCCCCCTCCTTCATGCAGGGCAGTTAATAGGTGTAATTTTAATTTCCTGTGTCTTTAAAAGCATTTTTTGGATAGTGGATTGATTTCAGAGGGTGTGTGAACTGTAGCTTGATCCTAAATGATCTATTCCATAAAAGTGATTATTTTAAAGTTATTTATTCAGGAAGCAAGTGCCCCAACATATTTAGTCTGCGTCATTGTATAGGGGCATTTGGTTTTCTCTCCTTCCCAATTTTTAAAATGCAGTGAATATGCAGGATCTTGCCTCACCCTAAAAATCTCTTAAGAAATTGTTGAAGCCCCAGTTATTGAGGTTTCCAACTACAATATGCATCACACGCGTTGCACTGATTTAACAAACGTGAGCGTTTGCCCAGGGGCTCCTTTGTTCCTTCCAATTTAGGCCACCACAATTTAAATGCCCGGTTTCGTCTTTTAGAAGAACCGGGGAAAGCCACAAATACCTCGTTAGGGTTAATCTGCAGCTCTGTTTATTGACCACCAAGGGGCAGAGATGCATTTCAGCCCATGCTTCCCTTTCAAGAAAGAGTGGAAAATGAGCCCGGCTGACTTAGGAGTTGAAAATAGATGGATGGGGCATTAGGTCACGCTCGGGGACGAGTCCCGGGTAAAATATATAGTGATATAAAGCCCGTAATTTTGTAGACTCTTAACATTGAGAGATGTTAGTGGAGGGTCTAGTGGGTCACTAGATTCCCCCCCCCCTTTGCCAAGGGGGATCTAAGTGCCCCCTTCCCTAGGATGTCCCCCTTCCCGGGGTGACGCTAGTTATTCGCCTTGGCACGTGCCGCCGTCTGCCTTCATCTCTGCGGGGGGAGCCAGGCGGGGAGATCAAGGCGCCCAGATGAGCCCCCCGCCCGCTCCCACGGCACAAGTTTGCTCAAGCAAAGACGGGCTAAAGCAGGAGGAAACCGGGACCTACCAGCCCTGCCTTCTTCCGCGCCTGCTGCAGCTCCTGGATGAAGGTCTGCAGCTCCTTGCCGTCCATGTATCCATTGCCTGCAACAGAGAGAGGTCGGCGGCTGGCAGCGAGCCCCGGCCCGCGACAGCCCCCCAGCACCCCCTCCCTCCCCCAGCAAGGGCCGGGCCGGGTCGGGCCGGGCAGCTCCCAACTCCGGCTGGCGGCGCCCAAGTCGCGTCCGCCCCGAGGGCGCCGGGGCCGC